AATTTTTTTAGATAGTAATTAGCGTTTCAATTGTTGATCAAACACATATTCGAGCTCCTTGAAATTGATATAATAATTTAACTAATAATTTAATTTGATAATTTATTTTTGATAAATATTTAATATAATTAAATCAAAATAACTTTCAATTTTTGCGTTACTACAAATAAAAAATTAATTTTTCTAATATTTTATGAAAGTTGTTAGATATTACCGAGGCATAGAAATATCCATATCGGACGTAGTCAAGGAAATACAGATTATTAGCATTGTTCCACCTTCTAAACATGACCGAGATAGTACTACACAAAGAAAAGAGTTCCCATGGTAATATGCTCATATGGGAATATGTTTTATTAAGTTCTTATTATTAATTTGTTACTGATGTGAAATCAATGTCAATAAAGCACTCTTCTATATATTCTATATATTGCTGTCTCTTATCTTCTTGAGATTTCTTTTATAGTTATTTAATCTAAGTTATGTTAATATCTGTGGTATATTATTAGGCTGATTTAAAACTACTCCATCCAAAATAAAAATCATAGCATACTTTAGGTAAATTGACAACTAAACGATTATAGTTTAATGAGGTTTTGAGGTTTTGAAAAGAAGTGAACTACAACAACAAAAATTCATTTATATTATTTTAATTAATTGAGGTTTTGGCTGACCATATAGCTGCTCCGAGTATTGCCCAATACCCACTATCAGTAGTCTTGGAAATATTTCTTGTATTTAATTATTCCTAAAGAATTTTTTGAGAATGTAAGTATCATGGATTAAACTCTTGCACTGCTAAATTTGAAGCTTAGAATCAGTGTTCCTTAGCCAACAGACCTATAATTGTAATCATAATTAATAATCGGTATACTTAAATTCATTAAAACCTATTAACCGTATTTTGGTCAAAGAAAACTAGGCGAAAGGGTGTAGGGGAAGTGCAGAGCAGATTTACAATTTGAAGTAAATTATAACCTATATTTGTATAGTAATTTATATTATTGCATATATTTTATTCGAATACTCCCGATATTTTATAAAGCTACTCTGTCTGTCACTACACATGTTCTATTATAATAATTATAATTAATAATTTCAAATTAACAATTAAAAAAAATTAATAAAAATTTTTATGTATAATAATATATATTTACATTTCATCATAGGTATCTTAACTATTATTGACATTACTGTAAATCATCTGTTACATATCATCATTGGTAATTATTATAAATAAATAACTTCCAAGAATAAAAGTTATAATTTCTTCACGGCACATTAAAAAGGTAATAACAAATAAAGATTATTAGAGATATTTTTTGAATAATTCGTTCGAAATACTTTGTCCTTCGTGAAAATTTCTTCGAAAAGTAAAAATGTTCCACTTATGCTTCCTCTTCAGTTTTAGTGCGTAACAATCCGCTAAAATAATCTCTGAAGCTACCTGATCTATAAAATAAATAACTGTGGGAATATCCTCCTACAACAATAGATATATTTGGCATTAAATTTTATAGGAAATGTATTATGAAAAAAGATACAATATTTTATAAGTGTCGAGGGTTATAAATAGGTATAAAACTTAACTAAAATTATATTTAAAAAGGATTTGAATTTTTCGCGGGATTTCCGTTAAATTTATGAATGTAATTGTTTTCATATTTCCGCAATATTGAATTTTATTTAACAAGTACGGATATTAGGTAAATTTTTTCTTCGAACATGGGCTCAAGATCAAAAGTTATACTATTGTATTTTTTTACAATTGAACATGTAACTAAAAATGGTTATATCAACTTAGATAAACAGTACTTGTGTACTATATATATTATTGGGATAAGGTGATACTCATAAGATACTAACGAAATTTTTTAGAAGATCTTAATATGTAAGATATTAATTGAACATCAGTGATATATAAGAACATAGTTGAAATAGTTAAATATACATAAATATATATATATATATATATTATATATATATATTATATACATTTTATTAATCTTTTTTATTTGATTGAACGCGAATAAGTCTCAAAGGTGCATGTTATGATTGCAGTCACAGTCACCAATTGTTGTTGCTTTTAATGCAAATTAAATGAGCTGTCTGTATCAAATTGACGTGACTGTGACTGCAATCATAACACGCCCATAAGGCACTTTTACTCAAAAGTATCTATGATTATTTGGGTGATTGCACATTATCATCATTACATTAACTCTTCATCATATGCATTAAAATATAATAATGAGTTATTCAAGGTGATTTTATAGAAGTTTAGTTTGATGGTCATTAGTTTGATGGCCATCTTCCTGTTTATGCATTAATAGAGTGCAATTCACTTTTAGTGTAAGCATCTACAAAATCAAACAATATTATTCAAATCTTTGATATTCAGGTAAACAAATAAACCTAAGCGAGACCTGGACGCAGGCTAATGAAGTAAAATATTTATGATTAAGTTCCGGAGTAGAAACGGCCTGGCATACGAGGGTGATTGTTTTAAGTTCATGCAAATCGAGCATTTCTAAACCTATTCTCAACAAATAGAAAAACCATTTGATATTATTATTTATGCGTTTGGTGAATTTAAAATCTGTGGAGAATTTATCACAACATCATTGAAATATCAAACGAAATTTTCATATTATCGTTATAAATAAAAATTATATTCGAAAAACAAATGTAAATCATGCGGTTTTAACATATTTATTATATATTATATTTAATAAAATTAAACTATTTTTATAACACAATAGGCCTAGTGGATCAACTAAGTGGAATCGCCGGTATAACCTAACCTAAACTAATCTATTACTAAAAAATTAAAAATCTTTTGTGTTTTGTACACTGAAATATAAAAACATTAATTATAAAATCTAAAATTTAAAAGAAAAGCTAATAAAACATGGGTCCCATCATATCCCATTTATAAAGGTTTTACTCCTTTTCTTTTTTTCTTTTAATTTTTATTAGTTTATATAAAATTTTATTTTTTTATATACAAAAATTACTATATCTTCAACTCAATGATAAATAGTATGAGTATAGTTAGAAGTTAATCTATCAGCATTTATTCCATTAATTAATAATAAAAATAATTTAATGTCATCTGAAATTTGATATAAAGATATTTTTTAATTCAAGTCTTAAGATCACTTATTTTATTATTCTCAGTAATCCTAACTCTCAAAAATACTAAATTATTTAATCGTTTTTCTTCTTTAGTTACAAAAATAAGTGCTGACAATATTTTATATCTCAGAATTTTTTGAGAATAAAAATAAGGGTTCTATTTTAACTTTGGAAGTATATAAACAAGTTTAAAATCTTTTCCTCTCTATATGAAACATTGCTTCCCATTAATAATTGATATTTTTATTACACTTACTCATAATCTCGGTGTTATGAAATTAAAGAATTTTTAAATATTTATAAATAATTTGAAATAAATTATATTATATATATTTAAAATATTTAATTAACTTAAAATATTATATATAAAGCATATGTATAATACATAAAAAAAATTTATTAACTATATAATGAGATTGTCATCAATTACCATTCCCCATAGTCTTATGATATATTTAGACGATTTGACAAAAACAAATCTATAAAAATCAACCATTCAAATTAATTCAAATAATTAATTATAGAGAGGTTTCGAACAGAAGTGAATTGTAGCGACAAAATTTTTTATTTATTTTTAATTAATCGAATTTTTTGCTGACCATACAGCTATTTCATATATTGCCAAATACTCATCATCAGAAGTCTTAAAATTATTTCTTATACTAAATTAGCCGTAAATAATTTTTAAAGACTGCAAGTACCAAGGGTTGAACCCATTCTCTACAAAATTTGAAACTCAGACTTAATGTTCATTAGCCAACTGACCCAATTCCGTACTTGACTTTTCAAGTACGTTCAAACTATCGTCATAACTAACGTTAAAAACAAATTTAATAATTAATTATTAAGTATAATAATTTAAAAAAATAATCTCAAATAAACTCTAAAAGCGATTTATGGTATCGGTCTTTGATATCATAAATTCTTATTAATTACTAAAGTAGGTAAGACATGGAAAATGCTCTCAAAACAAAGCAGGTATAGGCGGCTAGGGTAAATTATAATGACACAGGGTTGGGCACCACAGATCACTTCAGCAATAATAACCAATTATGATAATGATTATAATACTTGTAAGTATTTTTTATGCAATCAAATAAAAATTAAAAACTATCAAATTTAAGCTATTAAAAATTATTAATATTAATACATAATTATAAATTAAACAAATTGATTTATATGTGAAATGTTTATTTATATTACTTTATTATTATTAGACACCGGCTTAAACCTTAATTTTAATTATTACAAAATTTAATTAACTTAATTTATTTTAAAATAATTTAATTTTTTCTTAATTGTGTAAATACGAAAACTTCAATTATTAATAAATGTAATAAATGTAATTAATTATTTAATATTATTATATTAATATTACAGCATTAATATTAATTAATTACACATATCAAAACATATTATTTATATTATTCTTATTAGTAACTATTATTATACAACATATAACATTATATGATTAATATTAATTAATTACAGGATACACAATAGTAATTAGTAATTAATTAGATGTCAAGCCAAATCCATAGAGGAAGGATTTTCGTGTGCACATGGTGTAGTTTTTTAATTTTAGGTAAGGTTCACCCCATTTGAGACACATGTTTGGTGCCGGTGTTACAGGTGGATGACTACGGCGACAATTATTTAATATTAAAACCGATGTCATCATGGACTCATTACTAACATTTTTATTAGACCAAGTTTGAGCTTAAATTTTTGAATTCTAGCGTATATTCTCCAAAAGCAATATTAATATTAATTAATTACATGTACTAATATTACAACATTAATACTAATTGATTATTTAATGCATAACAGCAATATAATAGGAATTAATATTAATAGATATATCAGGCTAAGTACATTGAGGAAGAGTTTTCTTGTGCATGGTGTAGTTTTCTCATTTTCGATGAAGGTTCACCCCATGAAAGATTCATGGTTGGTGCTGGTGTTGCAGCAGGAAGACTACGGCGACAGTTATTTGATATTAAAACCGATTTCGTCATAGACTCATCACTGAAATTGTTATTAGACCAAGTTTGAGCTGACATTTCTAGATCCTGGCGTATATTTTCTAAAACTGTACTGAAATTGCTCGAATCTGTTGAAGCTGAAGAGCATTGTGTGGATTGTTGAAAATTGGAGTTTTTGTCGAGATGGTCAAGTATTTCCGTAAGATCAGGTAATGTATGATCAAGAACTGAAATAGAATTCTGTGATTTAGCTGATTTTGCATTCATTGTTGTTACTTGGTTGGAGTTAGTATGGAGTGATGATTTAACATTATGTGACTTATTAAGTTGAGTAGTATTCATTATAATAGATTGATTAGCAATTTGATCAAAATTTAATTGAATTTTTGGATCTTGAGAGTATGACATTAAACGTTGTACAATGCCTCTATGTGCGTTTTGATCACTCGTTTGTTGGAATATCTTCACTGTAGCTTTTTGTTCGATAGCATCGTGTATATCCTTTTTATATTTCATGCGTCGGTTTTGGAACCAAATTTTTATTTGACGTTCACATAAGTCAAGTCGACGTGCAATTTCGATTCTGCGAGTACGAGAAAGATACATATTTAATTTGAATTCTCTTTCTAATTCAAATACTTGTCTACTGGTGAATGCTGTTCGGGAACGTTTAGTTTTAGGTTTATTTTCATTCTCCTTGAGGTCATCAATTTGTTCAACTTTTTGTACTTGCTGTAGAGTATTATAGTGTGTTCCAGTATCCATGTTAATAAAATCTCTTGTGAATGATTGTTGATTAAAGCAATCTATCATCTGTAAGAATATTCAAATTAGCAACAATCACAATCACTCTTTCAGTTTTTACTTACGTTATTTTCCCGACATCTGTTTGACATATCCGAATGTTGTTGTGATAAATATTGCATATTTTATATATTTATTTCTTTCCTTTTAATTCCAATTATTGTAATAATTATTCCAGTTTCGCTTAGAGATGTTTTAATTTTGAAATGAAGAATTGAAATGACGAAATCACCAACAGAAATGTAGGTATTTATATTGGTCCTTGCTCCGACATAAAACACTGTCTTTTAACAGCGACTGTATTTGTTAGCAAACAAACACATAAAAGAAATTCATAAATCCTTTTAGTGATTTCTGTACTTTGTTCCGTTATAATAAAGGAAAATAGGCGCTGCTTAGACGAGTCAAGCTAAACAATGGAGAAGGACATATTTAAATATCATCATGGCCGCATCACAATAAGTACAGAGTACCCATATTTCATTAACGGCTTTATGTTATTATCAGCTCCTTTACACTTCCACCACCACTTCAAGTAAATTCGCTCCTGTAAAAAAATTAAGCCATCAAAATGTATCGAACCGTCAAACGGACTGTCGGGCTATGTGAAACAAGACGGAACCAGCAAGTCGCGTCAGATGTATCGTATTACAAAACAAAACTAGATCTTATGAGGCTAGACAAGGCAGAAAATCGCAACGTCTAGTCAGGTAAACTGAAATATGAAATGCGTATAAAATACTGTCCGCGACCGTTTATTGTTCTACGCCATAAATTTTGCAAAAGTTTTAGCACCTGTTACCGCAGGATACGCGCCAACGCAACCTCTCTGCAAAGGCTCATGTCCAGACGGTGGAAAGTGAAAGGGCTTCTGACCTTTTTTGCACAAACCTACATATTAGTACGTATTATGTGCGACCGTGTTACTCCAACCGTAGGCATAAAATTTGGATGAAGAAAGGACAATAAGCTGTTGACCTTCGAACAAATTAAAAACTATTAGAAGGTACTTGAAACTGTTAAAAACTATATCACGTCTTTTTACTAAATTACTATAAATATTTTGACGACAGATTGCCGCGAGCATACAAAAAAATGTGTCAGAGTTTTCTTATCCTAGAAAACTGGTGACCGCCGCCCTTTAATTTTCATTTCCGTCGTACATGTTTTTTCGAATTTCAGCTCAAATGTACACATATCTTTGATAAAACGTAAATTAATAAAATTACTTTTATATAAATAAATTATTTTCAAGATAGACTCTAAATTCGGAAATGTGAAATAAGCATTTGAAATGGAATAAGCATCCGACAATATAAAACTTTAATTAGTAATGTCGCCAGATTTTCATATTGAAGAAATTATGTTATTAAAGATATCATACTCTCTCCAATACTTTGCTCTGTGTTCTCAAAAACAAAGTCTTAGTTTTAGACACAGCTTTTTAGTTGGTTACATATTGGATCATTCGACACGTACTGAGAGTAATATTTTATGCATACCAACTGGCGACAACAAGCCTCTAATTTAGGTAGCTGACTTGGACTTGGCCTAGGTCGACTTACATCTGTAATTAATGTAACATTATATTAACATTATATTGTTTCGCATTAAAAATATTGTTTGTATTGATTGATGTATATAGTTGAGATGGTATCGAATTAAATTTTATAAGAAGTTCATAATAAACATAGTGTTAGGCCTTTCGATGTTTGAATGGACTAGATAAATATTCTGAAGATATGTACACAGTATTAATAACGCAAAGTTATGTATATTGAAGTATATTAGCAATAAAATGCACTTATAGGAGTTACCAGTCTAATTGTGAGAAAAAATCAGGGTAGTGTGGCGAAGTTTAAATAAGATGGTGGCAGTAAGGCACGCTTTGGTGGACAATAAAATATATGAACTACATAAAGTAGATAGAATAATGATCAGGATTACAATTATATGTGCAGAATACTATTTCACCGAGACTATGCATCTTTTGGTATTTTTAATAGCCCATATATAGTGTTGAATATTTGAATCCTAAACAAAGACGTCTAAAAATTAAACATTTGGATATAAGTACACTTACGTACGCTTTTGTAGATAATTTTTTATATATGCAGTTTAATTAAAATTCCAATCAATCCTTTATTAAAAATATCAGACGTTCTTTTTAAACCGATCAATATTGTACAATTTTAATTTCAATATATTATAGTTGTATCAGAAGAATCCACTTATTCAAATATAATAATTATTATTAATATTAATTTATTAAACAATTAAAAACAAAAAACAAATAAACTTATAATAGACAAGTGTTCTTACTATAGGACAAGGCTTTAAATTCCCGCCTTTTTCTGTTTTCTGTTTTTTTCAGCTTTTTCTATTTAAGCAGCTGACGAAGATAAAAAAAAGTAATGAAGCACAAAAGGCACTATGTGAAAGTGTATACAATATAATATATCTCTAAAAGAGACAGTCTATAATTAGGAGCTTAAAGTTTAAACGAAGCAAAGCAAATCAATAACATAAACTATTTTCTACCTTCTGATTCTAGCGTGCCATAAAAAAATGTTCTTAGATATACTTTTTAGATCCTATTGACCTCCGAGACTTCTATAAGCTAAATCGTGTGCACTAGCAAACCGAAAGAGGGACACAGAAATTACACCAATGTTTTATTATTTTGAATAATAGTATCTTATATTTTGTATATAAATAATTAATTACACAATAATTACAAAAACACGATAACGTTAAACGATAAAAATTTGGCACCTTCAAAGTGCTTCGGTCCCTGAGCTGTTAAGTAGGGCCCTGTAAGTAGGGCCAAATGAATCTGTCTGTTTTTCACAACAATTTAACTAATCTAGACTTGTGGGTTTCAGTTATTTGTTACTGTGAATTCATAAGATATTTAAATCCAGCGAATAGCTTAGTGAAAGCCCAGACCACTAACAGACCATTAACATATTAAAATATTCAAACAATTTTCATTATCCAGTGGTTATATCAGATTTCAACAAAATTAGAAAGAATTACATTGTTAAAATACTAATCTCCGACTCGTCAGAGTGGCAGTAAATATAACAACTTCGCATAAAACTGCTTCTCTCAAATTCTAATGAGCTCAAGTCTAGCTAAGCCAGTGAGGTCGTTCTTTGCGAATCCTAATAAGCTAAAGCCCATTTAGAGTTGTGGTGTGACGAATTAGCGCATGTCCTTCTAACTTAACCCAGTAATATTCGAATTCATTATTATGATTTGCTTGTACTAACATTAATTTTATACAATAGGCGTCAGAGCTTTCATTCAACTTTCGTAGGTCTGTTTCTACTGCAGTTAATTAATTACTATGTAGTTTATTTAATTATTTATTTAGTAATAACTATTTAATATTCTCATTCCCTGCTGTTGCTTTTTCTCGTTTATTATTTATGGACTTCTTTATTTCATAAGTGACCTAATGTCTTCATTCTTTAATTGTATAATATTTTTCTCTTATATAATTAAGCTATTATTGTAATATACTTTTATATATATAAAGCGACGTTTCATTTTTACATACATTGTATTTCATAACTTTATTCATATTAATTTATTTGCATGCCTTTTTACAGTGTATTTTAATATTTATAGAGACACACATCTCTTCTTAAAATTGAGACATCACATAAACTATTTAAAAATCTCATTCATATTGTATAGGGTATTTCCCAATTTTATTTTAAAGTAGAACTGTAGTTTCATAGTAACATGGAGTATAGTAGCTACCTAAAAACCTAAATATCTTCGATAACAAACAAAAAGGTACATAGAAAATATTTTCCACTTAAGTTCATTCCGCATTCATTTCAATAAACAATATTAAAACTGTACATATAGGAACTATGTTTGTTATCTTATTAATTTTCTATTCATAAAATTTTTGGAAAATCCGAATGTTTCTTTCTTATAAAACTTTATACATGACCTGTGATAATAACCTTTTATTTCGCGAAATATTGAGATACACTTGTTAAAACAGAAATGCATTGAATATTCATAAGGACTTTGCAAAAATATATATATGTTGACGGATTGGAAAACATTATATTTTTGAGAGATTATATTATATCAAAGAAATATAGTTTCCTTTATAATTTCAACTATTTTAAATATAGACAATTGTTGTAATTACAGTAATGAAAAATATAAAAAATTGAATTGATTATTGAAAATTCATTTTAATATAATATATATTAACAATATCACATAATTAACAATATATTATAGAAAAATAACTATAAGCTAAAAAACTTGCAGTGAATATGTATTTTTATATAAGTAACATACATAAATAATATATATAATTAAAATTACCAATTGAAAAATAAGCACTAAATTAAACTTAAACATAATCTTAACAATTTTTCAACTCTTAATTCTATATAAAATAATTAAATTCTATATATAATTTTGTATAAAATTAACTATTATTAAAACTTAACATTAAAAATTTAAATTAATTATTGAAGAATTCAAATTAATGATTTTAAAATTTAATTTCATAAATTCAAAACTAAATATAAAATGTAAATATTTAATATAAAATTTAAAAATTTAGTAAATTTAATAAATATAAAAATTAAGTAAATTTAACAAATTTAAAAATTTAATACACATAATAAATTTAGTAAATTTAATGAACTTTATAAATTTAAAAATTTAAAAAATTTTAAATTTATTTAATTTAAAAATTAAAAAATTTACCAAATTTTAATATTTAATATAACATTAGAAAATAAAATAAATTTAAAAATTTAATAAATTTGATATTAATATATTTAAAAATTTAATAAATATAAAAATTAATAAATTTAAAAATTTAATAAGTTTAAAAATGTAAAAACTATAATAAATTTAAAAATTTAACATAAAATTTTAAAATAAAATTAATTTAAAAATTTAATAAATTTGATATAAATAAATCTAAACATTTAATAAAATTTAATTTAAATTTAATAAATTAAATAATAATTTAATAATTTAATTTAAATTTAATAATTTAAAATTCAATAAATTTGAAAAATTTATATAAAAATCGAAAATTAAATTAAAAAATTTAACAAATTTGAGATTAATGCATCTAAAAATTTAATTATTTTAAAAATTTAAAAAAAAATTAAACTTAAAAATATTTGAAAATTGAATTAATGAATTCTTATACATCACTCTGTTAAAATTATATTTCTCGTTTTTTAAATATGATATTGTCGAAGCAATTAAAACAAATTAGCATTTTTTTATTAAAAAAATGATTTGCTTAACTAAAGCTTGATCATTAAAAGAAACATTTTACTTGTATAATTTCATAAAATATTATATCTTTTGCTAAATAGTATTATATAAAATATAATTTATGGAAAGACGAACATTTTATAAAATATAAAAAATTAATTTCTTCACAAAATCATATAACAAACCAATTTACAATTTAATTACATACAAACAAGGTTTTCAAATCGTTTGAACATAATTACTGCATTCTTTTAAAATAAAATATTAACTGTTGATCTTACATAAATACAAAATACTTTATCTAAAAAAAATGTTTAATATATAAATTATAGCCCATTGGCCACAGAAATAATTGCCAATTTTTATGGGCCAAATAAAATCAGCAAACATTTTTGCAGCATAATTTAATATTAAATGTTTTTTTTTTTTGATATTACAATAAACTCTTAATAGTTATATACAAATATTATATTAAAATAAATCTTAAAATTTAATTTTATAAAATATGTATTTAATAAATAAAAATAATATAACTATATGGATATATAATAACTTAATAAAAATTATAATTAAAAAAATTATAAATACATTTTCAAAGCAAGGTTTTTAATATTTAAAAGAAATATCAGTGTTTGAACAATTAATTAAAATTGCTTGTATGCAAATTAATTAATGAAAACAATACGTGCGTACATTAGACATTTAATAAATTTAACATAAATTAACAATACGCGAATTGCTGGTTATAGGATGTATGACGGTGATTATTATTATTATACGATTGCATTATCGTATCCATCGTACAGTTATAATTCGATCCATGATTAGGCATAGGCAATCTGTTATACTTGAAAAATGCGCTACTACACTCATCCATAATATTAACTGCGCCACCAAAATTGCTACCTAAAGAAAGAACATCGTCACACAAATCGACATTGTTTGCAAGAAGCTAAAGCAAACGAAACAAAAATGCTGCATTTTAAAATTATTTAATAATAAATTAAAATTATAAATATTTTCTTATGTGGGTTCACCTGTAACGTTGGAATACAAGATTCATTCATTTCGTCAGAAACCACGATGTGCTTGCTACCTGCGCCACTTACATGGTTCCTATCGTTGCTAAGACTGGAGTTTTCATCATTTAAAATTCTTAAGGACTCACAAAGTTCGGAGTTTGTTATCATTGTAGATGTTGCAAAATCCACATCTGTGTAAGAATATGGTTTAAGTGGACTCTTGAAACGACAATCAACACTTAACTTTGACGTGACAGTATACCCGCTACTGCTACCAACATTGTTTGCATCTTGTACTTTTATCTGAAACTCATATTTTTCATTTTGATGTTGATTGGGATATGTTGACTGTTGTTGTTTATGACTATGCTGATGTTGCTGTAGAGCCTTTACAGAGGGTGGTGGCGGGCAAAACTGTGCAACACTCAGTGTCGTCGCAGTTTCAGATGATGGAAAAACATGCGCATGTGTTAGAGGTGCAATTGTTATTGGAGTTGTAGCAGAGTTTATGATTTCGTTATTATAATAGGAATACGAGTTCTCATTATACGAGTCTATATTATTTCCTCTTCGTCTATTTGTGGTATCTGTTGGTACTGATATAACCACAGTACCATTATTTTTATGATCACTTAAAGACTGATTATTGGATTTTGCAGTTCTGTTGTTATTACTGCTACTTTGTGTATCTTTCGTACTAATAGACGACAAAGGTGAACATGGAAAATTGTAAGTATATAAAGATGACGAGGGACCCATATTTGTATTTGACTGCAGTTTATGTCGCCGTCTTCGATTTTTAAACCATGTTTTCACCTGAGGTTGCCCTATTGTTAGCTTATTCGATAACTCTGCCAAGCTTATTGTGGATAAGTATTTTGCACGCTGAAATTGTTGTTCTAGTTCTGCGATTTGTAATTTAGTGAAAACAGTTCGACTTCGTCGGGGTCGACGGATTGTTACCGTTTGCTTAACTTCATCTGCGATAGAGAATAAAAATTTCTTATTTCATTATGTATTGATTTTTAAATAATATTACCCTTTTTCAGTATTTGGCTGTGTTTACGAGAACGGAAATAATTGTTTATCGTACCAGTGCTATTTTTATCAAGCTGCAATATAAGAGCAAATTTATTAAATCAAGTAAGGAGCAAATAGGAACATAAAATTAGTTGCTTAATTATATACATTAAAATATAATATTATATATAACATATATTTTAATTTTTCTACACATTTTAATAAATAAAAAAATTATGTATATATTTTAATATGGATTGAAAAGGAAGGAATAAACGAAGTGCAGCTCAATAAGTCTCTCCGTGCTATGACAACAACAACAATAACAACAATAAATATCGGAATAATTTCAATCTCCACTGCACTCATAACAGAAACATTAAAATATAGTCATATATATATATATTATATATTATAAATATTTAATTTGTTAATGTGTAGTAAATTTATACCAAACGAAACGGAAGCCGATGTTGTGACGACAGTCGTGGGATCTGACCGTTTCCTTGTTGACACAATTCTTGATTCTGTCGTGTCATTTTCACATATCAGAAGCCCTTCTCTCCGCAACGGTTACATTTGAAATTAATATCGAGTTAGTTAGTAAAAATAATATCGCGAAATCCCTTATTTTACAAATAAATTATTTCATTTTTATACTGAATAACAGTAACAAGAAATTTAAGAGCTTTTAAGTACATATTTTCTTTTCGGCTTCGCGTATTTCTTACAAATTAAAGAACTACGAAAGCAGCAACAATTCTTAAGTTGCGATTTGTCTTTGGTCGTCATTCGTATTTAAAACGCAAAATCCGTTAAATAACATGAACGCAGCTTTGTAAAGCGTTCGGAAAATTCATATTTTTTATTATATTAAATTAAAAGTTAATATTATTTCGAATTGTAAAACAATATGTCGAAAGTCAAGTGAAGTAAAATTATAGTTTAAATATTTTGAAATGTTATCTTATCAAAGTTCTAGAATTTTGTTTAACATCCTAATACCCTGAAACCGTAACCTTTATGGCTGGAAATATTAAGACTGGAGTATTAAGGTTGTAATAGACCTAAAGTTATTTATGTATATAAATGTCTACAAATAATTTCATACAATCTACAAATAAACGTTGCAAATAAGCTATCTTGATAGTTTAATTATTTTTGTTAATAACTATTAAATAGTCTGAAGGGCACGAATCCATTTTTCCAGAAATACTCGTTTATAATTTAGTAGCACGTACGTTATACATTATTTTCATATATTGTACAAATTTGTAAGAAATTTTTTGCTTCTTAAAAGAATTTTTATTGATACCAAGATCAGGGCACAGCAAAACTTCAATAACCAAAAAATTGTATTATGTGGTACACACTTATAAAAAGATGCGTCATCGCTGGTCTAACGCTTTATTATCATTAGTTATAGTGAGTTAACACGAGAGTTCGAGATTGTAATTTTAGTTATCATTTCAAATCATTCTTGATTTCGAAAACAAGTTCAAATCAATAAGATTTGTATGAGGGTATGGGTAGTTGAAAATGGAATCAAATCGTATTTTCAATAAAATCCAATTGATTTTAACTTGGTTAGTTCACCGTAGTACCGTGTAGTACAAATATGTACTCTTCTGTATAGTTTTAAAGAATGAATGAAATTTTCATACAAAATTTAGTAGTTGAAAAGTGTGGAGATATTATAAACCTAACAATCAAATTACAATGCTACGTCGTGTCAATCGATGTTTTTGTACTTTGACTTCAGACGTCATTTTAAAATTTTTGACAGCTTAACTTATAAACAATTCTTTCTTGTGAAACCAATATTTGTCTTCATTTTCGACGTGTACTATTCTTAAGTAATATAAAGTGTATACATCATTGTATTATTATAATAAATTATAATAAATAATTATAATAAATAATTATTTATTTATTATTGTAATAAATAATAAATTAATAAACTGGATATAAAAAAAAAAATTAATGATATATAATTAATATTATTAACATTATTTTTAAATTTTTAAATCTAAACTTAATGTTAATTGTATTATCCGAACACATCAACCCTCAAACACTGACATCTAGTAGTGAAGTTTATTTAGCATCGATATCATTTCTATTGACGTATTAAAATTTCTTTTTATATATCTATAACACTATAAATATATTTTGAACTATACAAAGTTTCTATAAATTTTTGTAATCCAATTATTATATCTTTTTATAACGCAATCTTGTGACACTAAAATGATAAACAAAAAATATGGTGATTTAAAACATGCATTAAATGGTATGGCAGCGACACCTATCTTTCAAATTTTGCGAATTTACCTCATGTCACAACCAAATAAAGTAACAAACGTAACAAACGTAACAAATTAATATTAATATGTTGAATGGAGCAAAGACCGTAAATTTTGAGGACGCTAATACCGTAATAGTACGGTCTTTAAATATTATTGAAAAGTTACGATACGCGAGGTATTGGCAAAATTTTGTGCCAAACATTCAAATGAATATTTTTGACTTTTGTTGCTTATTTTTCAATAATCAAATAATCAATAATCAATCAATGAAAATTAATATTAGCCATGAACTCTTCTTAATGATTCTCAAATTGGCTTAACAGCTGTATATAATGTATTGCGTTGCTATTTTTTAAGTTGACATATTTGGCTGATATGACTTTTTCATTTGACGAGCATTTTTCAGACAACAAAAAATATTCACTAATTCTAAGACTTAGTGAATAAAAGATGTTTCAACTATTTAAAATGCATTTGTGAATGTTTTTAGTGTCAACAATTAGTTTATTGCCTAAGCCAGTTCATTTTCTTGATTAAACAAAACATTTAAAATGAAAACGAGAATTTATCCAATAATGTTTCGTAGCTTGAAGCCGTAATTGTGAGACCCTATTCGAGGTAGTCAATCAATAGTCCCATACTAATTATTAATTTTAACCGCTGTTCCTTTACCTCTCGTTTAATACTTTATAAACGTTCATTTTTTCTATTTTATAAGAGCAATGGATCACGTCCAGCCGTTTGTTTTCAAACTCATTATTGCTAAAGTGATAATATAATTTTCAAACTGTAACTAACTAATTCATATAGCCTCATTGGGATTGTTATTTGAGAGTAGTCCGCTTAGTATCAAATCTTTACTTAATTGTAGATCATTGAAAAATCTATAAATACTGACAATTCCTCACCTTAGCTATGCTGTAAACCTCCAGACGCAATGTTTGAGCCAAATACTGTTTGAGGTTGAAGTGACTTCAATGAATCGTTTCTTTAATGGACTACCAGAGATAAAGAACATGGATTTATCGGAACTCATTAGCTTTATATGGAAAACTGTTTGGGTAGGAAATAATAATAAATGAAGATAGCAAAGGTTAGTATAGTTTTTCTCTTCTATGGGATCGCAATATGCAAAATGAATGTTGAACGAAAAACACACATATTTGTAGCTTGACAAAAATTTAAAGACGTTAACAATTTTGACTCATCTACTGTTTGATTCATCTACTTTCAATTTTTATATGTTCTGTGCAGCATAGCTGTCTGGCATAAAATTGTCCTCAAAAAAGAAGAAAAACATGAATCTGTCCAAGAAAATGGAATATCTACTCTGCTTGAAGACGAATTAGATTTTAGTCACATTATTCACATTAATACAGTCAATTAGTTTGATCTTAGTTTGGGTTAGGAGGCGTTTACTGGACCGTGCATTCTTACCAGGATCAAGATCTTCTCAACAGCTGATATTTTTGCTTTTATTCGAATGACGGAATGTCTGCTGTTTAGCTAGCCTGGCTTAAAAGCACAAAAGATCAAGCAAAGTGCTTTGTTTCTCTGGAAGCCAGTACCCTGTATTTATTTTATTCTATTATACCTTATAAAATCAGGGATTCTACAGTAACGTAAATTGATAATGATGGTTGATTTTGAGTTTCAAATTTGGCAGGACATGAATTTAAACCTAAGTACTTGCAGAAAAAGTCTCAAAAAATTAATTAAATATGAGAAATAATTCTGATGATGATGGGTATTAGGCAAAAATTCAATTAATTAAAAATAACCACAAATTTTGTTGTTACAATTCACTACTGTTCGAAACCTCTCTTTTAAAATTTTGTAAAATAATTTTGCAATGATTTTAAAAAGGGAAAACAGTTTATTTAGTTATATGAGATCAATACAATCTTGAAAGGAGACATATAGAACTCACGTCTACGAGTGCTAATGTATTTTAACTGCCAGAGATTGACAGAAATATTACTTAAAGATACTTAAGTAGTCGTTTCTTCCTTTTATATTGTGAGTTCATTCTCGATATACCAACTCTCTCTACTTAAAACAATATTTCTCATTAGTATTTATTCTATTTTATTCTATTCTATTTTTCCTTTTATATTGACTACTTACCGGAATATTACAAAAACAAAAATTATGTGTATCTTTCCCATTAACCGAATTACTAACACTAATGCGAAGCAAAATGCGGTTTCCTACTGAACTTCTATTTTATCTCTTCTGCCTGTACAATCTGTGAAACTACAGATATCAGATATTTGAATGGAGAGCATAAATTCATAAAGCAAGACTGAATATTTATATACAATAGTCGTACAATAAAATCATAAAATATAGGAATAAGCGTTTGCTTTCAATTGAAGCAACCCTACCGCAAACAAGCACATCACTGAAGTCTCACCAACAACAGAACATAACAGAAACAGGATTCAAGTAATAAATTACAAAATTTGACATTTTCAGTTTCAGATCCGTTTTCGGTCGCTTTGGGTGCTACTATCCTGATGCTTCGACTGCTTCAATTGCTTCTACAGCTTTCATTGCTGCTATTGCTGGCATTGCTGGTATTGCCAGTGCCAGTACCACTGCCATTGCAACTACTTTCTCATGGCCATCATGACATGACACTATTCAACGATATTCAACAAAGCAATAAGGACGACGATGCACTAAAAGGATATCATAACGCAAAACGCATGCTGGCTGCATGGCCAGTTTTTCGGTTTCTCATCGTTTTTGGCTGCAGTTTGCCATTTGGCAGTTGGAATGCTCGCATTTGTTGTTGCTGGAATTCATTACACCAGCCAAGTGAATAGGACTCTCCTGCACTCTCCTGGTGGTGCAGCAGTGATAGTTAACTTTAAATTTATTATTTTGCACACGATTTATATCAGATTTTAATTCAAAATTTATTCTTTATTTCATTTTTAATTTTTTAGTTTTTCTGCTTTTCTCCTATTAAACTTTGAGTTCATTTTGTTGATTTATTTAATTTTAATTTATTTAATTTCAACGTTTGTAACCAAATAAAAAATATTTAAAAATGCGTTCTAGTTGATAGTTGAGCCACATGTCACATGCATTCCATCTTCCATCTGGTTAGGAACTATTATCACCCGCTGCGCTAAAGAGTGGAAGAATTAAGGAAAGCAATCAATCATTAGTGCTGCAATTGTCGTTTGTTGTTTTTCTAAAACAAAACTGAGACGATTGTAGTGTATGTGAAGAGGTATCACTATGCCGATCTTAAATAAGCGATCTGAAACCCAATTGGAACTCTTTTAGATGTTGCCTTTGTCGCAGTGATATTCATTTGAAATGATTTATAAATGTTACAATATTTATCTTTTAAAAACCTGATTTTAAATTCCT